CAGCAGACAGCAAGAAGCCTCCCAGATCTCCAGATGCATTTGAGATATCAATAAAGTACTCTAGAGTGTTGTTCAGCATGGGGGTGAGTAGAAAATGAAGGCTAATCATGTTTTGGGTGTACTATTCCTTTAACCTGGAAGTAACCCAGTGTTAAAAATGGCAATAAGGGGCTTTGAGACGATTGATTTTTCGCAAAAAAAAAAATTATAAAAAAAATACTGACGTTTAAATAAACGCAACATTGTCTTATCTTGACAGCTTTGCTAATTAAAACAATAGGGTGGGTTGTCAAACAAAGGGAAAAGGTTCTCAAAGATTAATTATTATTTCTTGATAGTATACCCTGGGATTGCATAGGAGAAATGACAAAGTCTTGAGCATCTGCCAATGTATAGTCTCTATCCAACACTTGCATTTCATTGCAGTTAACAGTTTCGAACTACATCCTTTAAGTACATTAAATCTAATAAAATTTATGTCATGATTTTATTAGCTTGACACTTCTGTAACTCTGAAATGTAGTAAATAAAACAACCTTAACATATGGCTTACATATAATAATAAAATAAAAATGCCTTTAGATAAATTAAACTGAATCTTTAAAGAGAAAAAGGTTTATCACAATCATTAGTTCACACAGCATGATTAAAAAGGAATGATTTAACCAGCACTCTCTACAATGCAAGAACAGATGGGGTGCCAAAGAAAACAAAAATGAAATGCACTTGGCCAACTTCAGTGTCAGAGTACATTAATGCAGGTCAGCATTTTATTTCATAACTTGTGAGTTATACAGGCTGGAGATACTGCAAGTGCTTAAGAGACATTAGGTAGAGGGAACTGAAATTAATATTTCTAACATGCATCTATCAGCCTGTGAGGTATTTAGCATTAGGCAAGGGTTAGTTGAAAGTAGGGTCACATGTGAAAACCACAAAATAAAGAGGAAACGCAGAGGTAAAAGTGCGGCACAGCAACTTAGCTATGGATATACTGCAAATTAAGGAGGATCGATGACTGTAATGTTCTATAATGGTCTACAGAGCATCAGATATATAAATTCAAGCTGAACACAACAGAAAGAGGGGTGTAATTTAGACATTACTCTAAGTCCAAAAAGGGTCCCTTATGTGCTTTAACTGAAAAGTCATGTTTTTATGGAATTACAACAAAGTCGGATCCTGGTCCTCACTTTAAAATACGATTGTGAAATTTTTAATTGAACAGGACAGCATTAATCCTTAAAACTAAAATTTTCTTCTCCTGTAACTGATCATGAAATCCAGTCCAAATATTGCTGACAACCCAGTTAATCCACACATTTATGGAATATCAGTAAATTATTTTTGAGTAATAAAATTGATTTAAGAAGTTGAATTTACAAACAAACATTGCATGTCCGTTTGACGAGGATCTTATTAAAGAATGATCAGCACTTTTTCACAGAGAATTAAATATTTATAGAGAGAGGATTCTACAACTCAGTTGAGAGGGCGTTAAATTGCTTGTTTTTTTTTTGGTTTGTTTAACATGAGCGAGATGCAGATCATTTCATGTTTATTTTGTTATATTTACTGTACATAAAGAACTACTGAAATTATTTTCAGATTACACTTGAAATGGATTCATACATTTCACGGGGGAAAAGGAATTACATTTGGGTTAGGATTAGGATTCACTCAATGATAACAACCTAATGAGTCTACTGGCACAATCTGAGGCCATTCTATGGGACGGATGGCTGCTTATATACCTAAAAAATCTATTAAAAAAAAAATAAAAAAAATGTTTTGTCTAAATTACCATTTCAAACACAAAAACATTCTTCACATCTAGAATAAACATTCTGGATGTCTAGAAATTTGTTTCACTACTATCACTGGTCAGCATTTGTATTATTTTAACTATGAAAAAAAAATTTCAGATATCATAAATACATTTTCAGTCAGGCTGATAAATGTCAGAACAGCCACTTAAAATGTGTAAACATTTCTAATAATAAAACTTACAACAAAAATGTAACTTAGAATATATATTATTATGGTTAGTTCTAGGAGTGTGATTTTGTTCAGTAAGAATCTTATTTTAGTGATCCACAAATGGAACAACAGAGAGGAGTGTTTTTAATAAATGTAAAAATGGCCTGCCATAGTCCACTTCATATAAACTTATACATTAACTGAAGCAATAATCTTCTCCTTCGCCAACTTCCTCTCCTTTGCAGCTGTAGCTCTGTTTCTCTCCTTTTTTTATTAAATTTTTTTGTACTTCTGCATTAAAATCTCTAGTTCCAGTGCCGTCAAAAAAGCACTTCCTGTTGCTGGTTGTCATGGTGACTTGTTGAATCGGTGCTCCACTGATAATGGCTTTTGATACTTGTTGTGCCCACATTTAACTCTGAGTGGACCTAGTTAATATTGATTGAACTAATTGATAGTAGCCATTGTGAAACCGAATACTCAGAGTACCCGACTTTTGGCTAGATCAATTTAGAGTTGAGGTGTTCATTGTAATTATTCTAGAAATTAATATAAAAGATAATCAGAGGAGCTGTCAATGAGTCAAGAGAAAGACCTGGACAAAGCAGAAAGAATTTTACAAGCAATGCATTAAACTAGAATTATCTATCTGCATAAACGTCATACTGTAGCAATTTCAGGAGGCATGTGGGAAACATCTTTATTAGCCCATAAAACCCTGGGAAATCACGGATGATTAAATTAGACAAAACATTAACTTTGTTACATTATTGGACACCATATTTGGAGGAGAAAAGGCTCTTTCCATCATTTGAAAAACACCAATGAAGTTAGCTGGAGAGAACATCATGGTGTGGGGTTGCCTTAGAACATTTGGTACAGAGTGTCTAAAATAATTACAATGCATGGGTAAGATAAGTGGGTAAACTAAAAGAAACTATAATTTGTTTTCATA